CCATCTGCCCAGTCAGAGACTGTTCATGTCACGTCTGCCCAGCCAAAGACTGTTCACATCCCATCTGCCCAGCCAGAGACTGTTCACGTCCCGTCTGCCCAGTCAGAGATGGTTCATGTCCCATCAGCCCAGCCAGACACTGTTCACGTCCCGTCTACCCAGCCAGACACTGTTCACGTCCCGTCTACCCAGCCAGAGACTGTTCACGTCCCGTCTGCCCAGCCAGAGACTGTTCACGTCCCATCTGCCCAGTCAGAGACGGTTCACGTCCCATCTGCCCAGCCAGAGACTGTTCACGTCCCATCTGCCCAGCCAGAGACTGTTCACGTCCCATCTGCCCAGTCAGAGACGGTTCACGTCCCGTCTGCCCAGCCAGAGACGGTTCATATCCCGTCTACCCAAGCAGAGACTGTTCACGTCCCATCTGCCCAGTCAGAGACGGTTCACGTCCCATATACCCAAGCAGACTGTTCACGTCCCATCTGCCCAGTCAGAGACTGTTCACGTCCCATCTGCCCAGTCAGAGACTGTTCATGTCACGTCCGCCCAGCCAGAGACTGTTCACATCCCATCTGCCCAGCCAGAGACTGTTCACGTCCCGTCTGCCCAGTCAGAGATGGTTCATGTCCCATCAGCCCAGCCAGACACTGTTCACGTCCCGTCTACCCAGCCAGACACTGTTCACGTCCCGTCTACCCAGCCAGAGACTGTTCACGTCCCGTCTGCCCAGCCAGAGACTGTTCACGTCCCATCTGCCCAGTCAGAGACGGTTCACGTCCCATCTGCCCAGCCAGAGACTGTTCACGTCCCATCTGCCCAGCCAGAGACTGTTCACGTCCCATCTGCCCAGTCAGAGACGGTTCACGTCCCGTCTGCCCAGCCAGAGACGGTTCATATCCCGTCTACCCAAGCAGAGACTGTTCACGTCCCATCTGCCCAGTCAGAGACGGTTCACGTCCCATATACCCAAGCAGACTGTTCACGTCCCATCTGCCCAGTCAGAGACTGTTCACGTCCCATCTGCCCAGTCAGAGACTGTTCAGATGCCTGTGCCTGTGTTTGCTGTCTTGGAGCTTTGCTTTTCCAGAATGGGAACTGGTGTCTGTTCCAGAGCCGGAGGCAGTGTCTGCTGTTCCAGAGCCGGAGCCAGTGTCTGTTCCAGAGCCAGAGACAGATCAGGAGATACCCATTTACGCAACCGAGAGAATACCGAGCAACTATCTGGAGCGTCTGGCACAGATCCTGGAAAGACCCTTCAGACCTTTTGTGTCCCTGGTTCCAGAGCCGGAGTCAGTGTCTGTTCCAGAGCAGGAGTCAGTGCCTGTTTCTATGTTTGTGTCTGTCCTTTTGGCCGTTACTGTTCTAGTGGCTGTTCCTGAGCCGGATCCAGTGCCTGTTCCAGAGCCGGAGTCAGCGTCTGTTTCTGTGTTTGTGTCTGTCTTTTTGGCCATTACTGTTCTAGTGGCTGTTCCTGAGCCGGTGTCTGCTGTTCCCGAACCGGTGTCTGCTGTTCTAGAGTCGGAGCCAGTGCCAGTGTCTTCACCGCCTTGGCCACCCAACGGATCTTCACCGCCCTTACCACAACAACTGATGTGTGAGTTGATGAATGTGTATTTGTGAACAAAAGCCTAAATTCAATCTGTTCATCATATAAAGTGATTGTGTCTCTTCAGAAAATTTGGACGAGATCCCTCAATTCATGTGGATTCGTTTTACGATCTCTTTATGAAGTGTCAAAATTGTAGTGGTGTAGACTGTCAATAAAGTCACAGATTTCATCAAAAAGATCTTAATTTGTGTCCTGTAGATGAACGAGAGTCTTATGGGTTTGGAAAGACTTGAGGGTGAGTAATAATGACAAAAGTTTCATTTTTCAACTAACCCTTTAATAGTGTCTGATCTTTTAGTCATATGATAGTCAAATGAAAATGTATGAGATCCAATAAACTGGTATTAAGATAACTGGTCACAGTCTTGGGACATTAGATAATATTTCTCCTCATTCCAGAGGACATTTCTATATACTGGTGCATACGAGACAGAGACTGATGGTAGGTATAAAAATCCTCAGAATATTGACTTCTTTTGCAAGCAGTTTTCTATTGGAAACCTAATATATAGTAAGAGCTGATCAACACCAAATTGAAATCGGATTCCCATTTAATGCTTTGTCAGCCCATATAAATAGTTAACATTGAAAAAGACCAAAAAGTGCTCTGTCAGTAATCAATGGCCATTTTCTATACAGTTGCCAACAGTGCAGCATTGAAGTAATGTGTGTGGAATATTAGTTGAATTAACACAACATTGTTATTTTAATTTACAGACATTTATTTTATTAACCATGATAAGATTGAATCAAAATGTTCATTTAATGTGTATAGCTAAACTTGTACTTTTGATCTCATTATCTGACACATTAAACCCTTTTCTTACATTTGCAAAATTTAACTAGAAAGACAATGCCAAGTGGATTATATACTCCGGCAACTTGGTTAATCTGCTTTTAATGGATTTGAGGGATATTGTGAGTATAACAGCTGTTTTGCAATGATACACAAAAGTGGAAACTAATGTTCCTCTGTGGTGTAATCTTTACTGCCACTTTGTCTGTGCTATTATCCTAATGCAGCATTTCAATCACCGCACAGGGTTTCAATGCAAACTAAACAATTAAGCTCTGTGAAAAACAACCCATTTTGCTAAAGTCATGTTTGCGAGGCATTAAATGTCACTCAGAAAGGGCCAATGACATCTCAGCTGGGGTGAAATCACCAGGCAACATCGTGTATAAAGCGGGAGGCCAAAATAACGAAATAAGACATGACATTTTTTTAAAGGTGAGTCATGATAGGTTGATTAGCAGTTAGCACTGAGTCTGAAGACCTCTAGCAATTGCCACTTTGAATTATGACGAAAGACAACAATGTGACGTCTAAAGAGTCAGGTTACAAAAACTATACACAAAAAATATATATATGTAAAATGTCTTAAACAGTCTACACAGTTACATCAATGCATTTGCATTATGGCATTTGTGTTATGAAGGAGGCAGAAAAACAGTGGTAACGTGGAGGAAACTGGAAAAAAAAACTTGTGCTTTTAGATGATGGTCTCCATTTTTATGGAATACCATTGTCAAAGACGCAGTTTGAAGCTCAACACAAACATATATGGTTGGATGCCATTAAACAGACATACTGGACTGTTGGAACCTGTGATGATTATCCTACATTTAAAGCATGAATTTGATGTAAACAATAGTACTACACAATATTCACATATCCAGTTCATAGCGGGCATATTGTATTAGCCCAGCAGTTACATCATAACGAAATATTTAAATCTATTTCTTTCAGTTCATTGTCAGTTCTACTTTGCATTTTAAATGGGTTGTTCCTATTGTTAATAAAATGAAGACTGCTGCATTTAGATCCTTTTCTCATTATTGCAACCAATTTGTGACACCTATAACATTTAAATCTCATCATATTTTAACTTTTTTTGCAGACTTCATAACTCGCAATTGCGATTTTATATAACAATCCCGAGAAAAAAAAGTCAGATTATCAAGTTTATGTCTACAAATCTATTGTTTCTTCACAGAATTGTGAGAAATATCCTTGGAATTGTGAGAAAAACAGTACCAAAAATGGCCTGTTAACTATTAACTGTTAACCATTTTGGATTGTAAAGTTCAAAACTATTTTCTTTTTTCCAGGCAACATTTTGTTGGAATTCCTTCTCATATTGACTTAAGTTGTTCACCCCACATTCTAGTAACACCACTGAGGATATTTGAATAGCATCTGTCTAAATAACAAAATGTCGTAAGTTTCACCACTTGTTTCCAAGGCCAATGCGGATCCTTCACCCTACTTTTTACATCCAAAAACATATTTAGAGAAAACCAATGGATGCTTTCTATGCCCTGTTTCTGTTGACAAAGAAAATCTAATAGCCTGAGCAGCCAGCTAATTTGAGTGATTAGATCCAGATAATTGCTCTGCAGGGTCACATAACGTCCAAGAAATATGATGCAATTTTACAGGATAAAAGAAAACACTGTTTTCTCAATATACTGCCATATTCCTGAGTGCTGATACACTGACGCAGGAACAGAAAGGTTTCATGAAGACCCCAGAAACCGGATCTAAACATGATGTAAGCTTTCAGTTTTCGAAGACAGCGTGAGAAGTAAATTTCGACCTCCTTCACTGGTCATTCAATTGGAGGCTTTTAATTTTGATGAATGCCATTATAACACCCCACTACACTCTATAGCAGCGATCCAAGAATCATGGTTGTTCTGCTTGTAATTAGGTCTCAGACTCAGCAGTACATGAGGCCTGGAGTGGACCTGACCCACCCAATTACAACTGCATCATGGGAATCGTGTAACCATGGACACTTAATTAAAAAAACATACATATTCTTTATTTTTTCTTATTAAAGTAGGACCTTAGGTCAGTCACCAGTGACCTTTTTGAAAAGCCCTCATTAAACTCAAGTTGATTTGCCTCGCGTGCCACTTTCTCTGATATCCTTTTCTCTTTATCCCACCTATATGGCTAACTCTCAGAGTATTAATAGACTGTAGTGAACTGATAGGTTAGGGTTAGTAGAATAAGTTTTCTTTCAAAGTTACATAGCCAGTAGACTGTTTGTGTGGAGCATCAAAATAAAGTGTAAGCTGATATTAAGCATACAGTCTACTAATACTCCAATGACTGGTAGTTGATGTAGTTGGAAAGTCACTTAGTAGAATGTCTAAAGTGGACAATTGACATAAAGTGTTACCAAAATCTGTCTTTTTAGGTATACTCAACCCTTCGCTAAACTCCACTCTTTATGATGGATAAGCTTTTGTCATTTCCAGTGGCAACTAAACACAAATAAGTTGAGCGTTCAGACACAAGTGTCTAATTGTAGACTTTTGCAGAGGCCTTGACATATCAAATTCACAGTAAGTAATGAATGTATAGATAGTGATTGGGTACCTGAGTGTTTTGCGAACCATATCTTCATCTGTTATTCCATAATACGTCAGGGTCTCACTCCAGACAGGGTTGAGAGTGTTGCGTAGGGTCTTGGTGCGGAGCTTATTGGCCTAGAAGAAATGATAGATTTGGTTGTAGATTAGTGGTTGTGTTCACTGCTACTCTTTAGTCTTTATTCTTAGCACAAGCTAAGAATATACCAGGCCTTCCATTTCAAAATGTCAAGCAAATCAGGGGTTCAAACTCTGTATTTAAACATGCGCCAAGTTTTGGTAACAAGGTTGCAAAATGGCAAACCAATTAATGGACAATAAAACAGCTTGTATATTTAGTTTGACTTTCCAATTATTTTATAAAGCTTGAGCACCTTCTTGCACCATCTATTGAAAAAGGAGAAAAAAAAAGAGTGTCAAATACTATGTTGTACCCTGTGTTCATGTCAGGGTTTCGGTCACCTCTGTTTGGTTTATATCCGGTTTGGTGACAGAGCTCTGACATTCCTGGTTTGTCATGTGTTTGTGTTTAGTCTGGTTTGTTTTGAGCACATGGCTTGTCTTGGTAATTATCTGGCCCCTTCCATCTTGTTACCTGATTATTGATTAATTTGCCCCACCAGCCTTGTTCGTTATCTTCTTTTGTTTGCTTCCTATTTAGTCCCCCTGTGTTTGCAGTCCTGGACTGGTTCATTGTCTATGTTCCATCGTATTTCTTGTTTTATGCCATTTACCTGTCTCGTTTCCCCCACAGAGAGTTTTGGTTTGTTTAATGAATATCCTGAGTTTCCTGCACATGAATCCTCGCTTCACTTTTTGACTGTCTGTGACAATTCATGGAAAATTGGAAATTTCCTCATATAAAAAAACCCAACCCCCCCCCCCCCCCCCCGGGTTGGGAAACACTGGTCTAAAGCACTTGGAAAAATGGTTGGCGTGCCCAGCACATGGCCTAAAGGGGTATTCCCCATTCTCTTAATGAGTAATGGGTGTTTTTTGGAATAAAAATGTGCAATAAACCAATCAGAGTCGCATCTCCCATTCCCTTTAAAAGCCAGTTGTGCTCGCGTCATGGCGGACCATCTACGGGACAAAGTCTACACGCATTGTGGAGCCGCCTATAGACGCACATTACTAACGCGCTCTTTAAATAACAAAAAAATATACAATTGCCCCATTTGTAGGCCCATGGGCATGCAGGTGCATTGTTGGCACATTGCTATTTTGAGGGAACTGAAATAGACTGCGCCATTGACCAACTGAAACCTGGTCTAAAGTCAATGGCGCAGTCTATTTCAGTTGCCTCAAAATAGCAACGCGCTAACAACGTGCCTGAACACACCGCGTTTGAGATGGTTCTCACTGCAGAACATGAAATCCACGGGGAGTCGGATCCAGATCCAACTCCTCCCACCTTACATATACCTAAACCTACCCAGCTCCACCCCCTGATCCTGGCTAAACCCACCCCTAAACCTACCCCAGCTCCACCCCCTGATCAAAAGAGACTGAAGTAACTTCAGCCGCACGCATTCTGCCTGTAATTTTTGTCATCAGAAGGGTCCACACTCAATTTGTCCGCACGGATGGTGCAATGTCCTGTAAATGGTCAGATGTCTGGTAGAATATAAAAGAGTATCTATCAATCCATCCATTCATCAATCTATCTAAGTTTTAGGAATTTCAATTGTAAACACAAACAGACACCCTCCAGCAATTTACCTTACATCTGATGTCATTTCAAATGCGATTTTAACTATATGGATTTTGACAGTACCTTGTGTGTACATTGTCTGTTTTAGCATGTTTTAAAGACGGTAATGACGATCATAATCTTCATTATAAGAAATCAACTATCAACATATTGCCATAAAGCTTTTACATTTGAATGAACTATTAATTAATTATATTTTTATTGATCATAATACACATTTACATTTTATAAGTAATCATATATTAATCGGAATAATTTGAAGTAATCCCGTGATCCCCTTGGAAGTTTGCAGAGACCTTCCAATGGGTCAAGGCCCCCTGGTTCAGAACCACTGCCTTAAGACATTTAAATAATATATGACATTACTTTATTCAGGACTCAAAAAGAAAGGTCCATAGTACAAAAAACATAACAACAGTTACAACAAAGCAACAAATAAATATAAAATACAAAGTTCATTAACTTTCATTCGCAATAAACAAACAGGAGCGCCAATGTCTCCACAGTCTAGATGTATACCTAACAGAGCTAAAATCACTGTGGGCTAAAGCTTGTATAATCCTGTTTTCAGACACAGAAATTCTACACATGTATCGAAAAATAAGATTTCTTATTAAGGCAGTACAGGTAGGCACACCAACATTAACAAACATCTGACAGCTACAATATAGCTACAAGCCTCCTTGGAATGTGTAAGTCAATGCAATTGGTGAGCAGGCACATACCTTACTAGCTCCAGGCAGCAGGTGCAGCTTAACATAGGGATCTGACAACCCATTGTGATCCATTGGTTTGAGTCCCTGAGAGACAGAGAGAGAGAAAAAAAGTGTGACTTATGAAAAACAACCACTTTTAGACAGCCTGTGAAGTCAACAGCATAAAGCACCATGTCAGCCTGATAGATTCCACAGGTTTTAGAAATCCAATTCATGTCAAACTCTTGCTTTTTCTAACAAGACGTAGCGTTTCAAATCCGTCCAAATTAGCCAATTAGAAATGCTGGAGGTGATGTCGTGCCATGACAGCAGAGCACTCTCCTGCAGCTCTTAGCTTTCTATTAACATGCATTTTAGAAATGGCAAAAAGCTCAAGCACTTTGTGTGGACAGAACATAAAAAGCCCAATCACCGCAGTAATACCAGACATGCAATCATCCAAAATTAGATTTGACCATTTGTGTTGGTTCCAATAATAATAAAGGATGCTGTATTTTTACATAAAGTTATGCTTTCTGAAATTTTGTTTATGATCAGCTCTCATAAGATTCTGCAGAGCTGGACAGTAACAGAGTACATTTACGTGAGTACAGTACTTAAGTAAAATTTTGAGGAATCTGTACCTTACTCGAGTATCATTTTTGGGGAGTACTCATGACTTTACTCAAGTACATTTACTCCACTACATTTCTATCCATAAAAAAAAGGGAGAAAAGAAAAATCTCGGAAACCCTCAATTTGTTGTGTCCCTCTCAAACGTGATTGGATTGTGCAGGCAACACTGATTGGGACAGCCTATCAGCAATCACCTTCAGCTTTCCCCCAAAGTCAACTCCATGGTCAGATTTATAAGAGACAAAACCATGGATGAACAATGGCAGGTCCTTCCCGGGAATGTGTCGACCCGTGGCCTCACCTCGCCAGACTATTTCAATTTTCGGAATTTTCTGAAATTTTCTTTAAAGTTAAATAAAGCAACATGGTAACAAGATAAAAATGACTTGATTTTACTTTCAATTCCTTTTACATTCTCCAAGGTATTAACATTTACATTTTTCATAACTCCATGTAGGACGTTTCTGTACATAAATGTAAGCACTGTGGCAGTAGTAATGCAATACTAAGAAAACTCTTGTACTCTTGATACTCAAGTACAGTACTTTTACCAGAGATCTGACTGTAGTACTTTTAACTTGAGTAAAATTTGGCAAGGAGTATCTGTACTTTTACTTAAGTAATAAAGCTGTGTACTCTGTCTGCCTATGAGATTCTGATGCTTTTTGAGCTATTTAAAGGAGTAGTTCACTTTTGCTGATAATTTACTCACCCCCATGTCATCCAAGATGTCCACGTCTTTCTTTCTTCAGTCGAAAAGAAATTAAGGTTTTTGATGAAAACATTCCAGGATTTTCTTCATATAATGGACTTCACTGGTTCAAATGAGAGATTCAGTGCAGCTTTAAAGGGCTTTAAACAACACCAGATGATGAACTTTTTTATTTACTTTTGAAATGACCGATCGTTTGACCGATAAGACCCTTATTCATCCTCTGGTGTTGTTTAAAGCCCTTTGAAGCTGCACTGAAACTCTCATTTGGACCTTGAACCATTTGGTGCCCAATGAAGTCCATTATATGGAGAAAAATCCTAGAATGTTTTCATCAAAAACCTTAATTTCTTTTCGACTGAAGAAAGAAAGACATGGACATCTTGGGTGACATGGGGGTGAGTAAATTATCAAAATATCAATACAAATCTAGAAAACACTGTCTGCTGTCAGAGAGTATGTGAGGCAAACATTAATCTCATTGAAAACCTCTGCACCACCTGACACCCATCATCTCCTCTGTTCTACTGCTTAATTACCATCTTTGTAGTGGGATTCAGTGAGGTAGCATTGGACTTCAGATGCTAGGGCTGTGTAGTTATTCAGGCCCATCAATATCACAAAGGGTATTACTGAATAATGCCATATAAATTATTATTTTTTCTTCACATTCACAGTCGTATAAAAGCACTGTCTCCCAGAAAACATGAGGGGAATGTTGTCGATTAAGGGAGGATGTTCCACACAAAGTCTGGATTTACCTTTGTGGTCTAAATGATGGTTTTCATTTTAGCGATCTGCATAATGCAACTTTGCAGCATAATTTAAGAGAAGGTTTTATCAACTTCTATAAACAATAGCCAAGTTGACTAATACATTTAAGTATATTCACACAGAGAGCTACTGCTGAAAGAGCTTCAGGTCTTTCCAGAGACATCTGGCATAAAATCGTATTTCTAAGTTAGTGAGAGAAAGAAAAGGAAAAATAATCAAAGGACAAACATTATCCCTTTTTACAATACTGCAAAAACAGTACATCAAAATTTGGTTACACTTTTTTTAAAGTGTCCTTACAGTGTAATTATACATTTAAGTATTGATTAATATTCATTAATAACATGTACTTACAATAGGGTTATACAATCGCCGATGGTCAAACTGGTTTTGGGGTTTCACTTTATTTTACAGTGTGCACACATATATACCTAAGACTGGGTAATATAAGGTAAGTATGTACATAGGGAACAGTACTGTAAAATAAAGTGCAGTTTTGGTTAAGGGTTTGTACCACAGTAAGTACAAGTAACAAAGACACTAATATAAAGTGATTCCCAAACTTTTTATCTCATAATTTCTGTTTCTGTTTAACAAAAATAAGTAAAGTGATCTTGCAGCAGTTCCCAGCTGGTTTTCTCATTGACTCTATGGTTGTGTGCAAAGATGACCTAAATGTATTAAAGAATATCTTTCGCCAGCATTTACATTTTTTTCCAAGTCTGTGCATTGAACATATCACGGAAACCAAGAGCTGTTTCTCATGAAACTGTTCAGAACTTCTGGCTATTGACAATGTTTAGAAAGACCACAGAACAACAATAAATGGCTCAAAAATATTTGTCTAATCTTATAAGTAAACATGTTAAAAACCAATTAAAGCCTTGAGTCTGTGTGTGTTTGGTTCTCTATCAGCTTTGCACATCTGGTCACTGCAATTATTCCTCATTCATTCTCCCATTTTGCAGAGATGGACATCATGAGAGAACAGCATGTCCACCTCTAAATTCTTGGATTGAGTTGTGGACTCTGAAACAGCCAATCCAGGACATTAAAGTTGTTGTTTTTCAGTCATTCCTGTATATCTGGGTCTTGCAGACTTCATCACGTTTTCCTCTAGGATTTGCATTTTTTACCCTCTACCCGCACAAGCCTGCCAGGCATTCCCCCAGCATGATGCTGCCACCACCACCGTGCTTCACCATGGGGATGGAGCAGCATTCTGATGCGCAAAGTTCGGCTTATGCCAAATATGTCGTTTATTCAAATGGACAAACATCTCCATTTTGGTCTCATCAGACCACAGAAGCAGCTTCAGAGTCTCCGACATGCTGTGACGAGATATCATGACATTTTTATTTAATAGTGAATTTCTCTTTGACAGCCTCCCATTAAGAGCAACAGTTTAATGTGCAATCCCTACAACCTCAGCCACTGAAGCTTTTAATTAAATGCTGTTCTTTTGAACTTTCTATTCATCAAAGAATCCTGATGTATCACGGTTTCCACAAAAATATTAACCAGCACAATTGTTTTCGACATTGATGATAATGTTTCTTGAGCAGCAAATCAGCCTATTAGAATGATTTCTGAAGGATCGTGTGACACTGAAGACTATAATGTGTAATTACTAATTAATGTGTAATGATGCTAAATAAATTACATTTTCAAATGTATTAAAGTATAAAGCAGTTTTTTGACCTCTTAACTGTCACCCCCCCGACCTTTTTTTGAATAGACATGGAAATGCACATTTCAAACTTAAATGGTTGTAATTCAAGAATTCTTTGAATAGACGTACAATTGGTCTTGTTTTAAATAAGACATTTGGCAGATTTTTGTCGAAGTGAAATAAATTAAGAAAGTGAAACAGAAAAACAGTTATAGAAGTTTGAGTTTTATGGAAATATACAATGTAAAAAAAATAATTATTGATATTTTATATAAAATATATATTTTCAAAACCTGGGCTACTCTAAAACTGCAGTGACGTCCTGTCTCTTTATTGTGGGTTTCTTCTGTTTTGGATGGATTTCTCTGCCCTCTACTTGATTGCATTGGGGACACCTGCTGCCAACTTCCCTTTTTTGCCTTTTCCAATTCAATTCTACCCTGCTCAGACTTTTGCTTTAGTTTCTCATGTTCCATTTGTAACAATAACAACTCTTTTTGTTGGTCAAAAGTTAAAACAGACTGTGCAGTCAAACTCTGTTCGTGCTCACCACTTTTACTCATTTCGGTGATCAAAATTCTCTTGCCAATTCATTTATCTTTTAACTCAGTTCTAATACTACTTTCTTTTATTCTCTAATCGCTAAGTTTTATTTCGTAATATTCCGCGATTTTTAAAAGTGTATCTTTTGTGCATTTATTGATCAGAACGTGACAAGGCGCTTTAACAAATGTTTCAACATCAGCCATGAACAAATAAATCAAAGACTGAAAGAAACCGATGTGCAAAAAGATACTTGGAATTTTACCCACTATCTAAATCTTCAGGATAAGTCTACCTACCTACCTAAAGCCTAGTCTTCATGCGGATACTGGCGGGGGGAAATTATGCACGCAAGCCCAGTGGGTGGAACTGCAACTGGTTAAACCAGCGACAATTCTCAACACCATGGATGTGCTCCCGAGACAAGTAGCTACTACCCGCGTTCACCACAACACTACAAAAACAACAAAACCCGACATGTCTCAAAGGAAACACATCGCTAATCCTAGCAGGGAAAAACTCCAAGTTAAAACAAACAATATTGCACAAAGGCAACTTACCAGTTGATGAGTTCAAACGACGACCAAACAAACGCACCAAACGCTTTCGGGTGTCCCAATCAAATCGTGTTCAAAATGAATCGAAAACAAAACACGATGAAACGAACGAAAACAATCAAATATTTTCCAACCACTGACGAAAATATCAAACAAAGGCAAAACATTGCTATGACCATGAGGACGAGCCCCCATTTGTTACGCCCCGTGG